ATATACTATATATACACACACACACACATATAAAAATTAAAAAGAAGACATTAAACATAAGTTAACAGCTTCCGAACAGAGTCAAAATTTATAAAGTTCTGAGAATTTTTTTTAGAATTTTTTAATACATATTTTCTCATGTAAAAATAAGAAAATGCAATACTAAAAAATTGATAAAAAATTCTGAAAAAATTCTTAGAGTTTGATGAGAAGAAAATAAACAATTTTTCTCTTGCTGTTTTTCTATAAAGTTCATAGTATTAAAGTCTCCCCTATTATGCATGTGCTCAAGCATGTTTTTTACTAAGCTGTAGTTTTGAAAGAATATATTGCACAAAAAACTTATAAGACATAATTTGTAGAAGATTTACTCAGCTTTATTTTTGAAAATAATATTTTTGTAGTAGAATGCGAGATATTTCGACAAAACTCCGAAAAGTGTCATTTTTTCGCTGTTTTTTCAATAATGGTGGCGCTGGCAGCAAAAAAAAGTGACTAAATATTGACTGCAGTTCAGGATATCCCAAATTATGATCTTACTAAATATAAAAATTCTTGCATTCACTGCGAACAAACAGTATTTCTAGTTCTTTGAGTACTGAGCTAGAAAGTCATTGTGAGGTAAAATAACACCATTCACCTACACACATACATACACACACACGCGCGCACACACACACACACACACACACATTCACGCACACGCACGCGCAAACGCACGCACGCACAAATGCACGCACGCACGATTCGCATACGCTCATATACAGTGTCCCTTGACTGCAGAGTGAAAGCAAATTATACTGCACAGTTTCAATTATGTATAAAAAATAGGAGTATATATGAATGAGTTATATAGGAATTCATTCGATAGAGCTCGTGGACAGGTAGAGCAGACTGGGGTTAATAGACTTATTTCTTATTTTCGAATTTTTACAGACAGTATTAAGAGATTTATCGAAAAAATGAATTCAACCAATTACTACATACATTTGACTACTCAATATTTTAATAATAAGGGGAAATTGATAGCTAATAAAAAAATACATTTTTCTAATGCATCTGATTCAATTAGTCCCGGGATCGGGGTAATTTGATTAAGATAATTAAAATAAAAATTAATGTATTTTGAGCTACATCTTTGGCTACATATTAATAAAACTTTTATAAAAATATTTTAAACACAAACATTCGTTTCGCAGGAAACAATGCTTCTTTTTGCAAAATTTGTCCATTTCGCAAAAAAATGTTGATTGAGCCTCATTTTCGAGATTGGACATTGAAGGAACTAAACTTATAATATTTACCATTATAATATATACCACTGAGAAAAATCTCTTTAAAGGAATAAAATTTTGAGTAAAGACTGTAAGAGTCGTCACTAAATGACTCATACAATTCTATATTGTGGTTAGTCTGCTATTCCCATCCGTTCATTTTTTAAAAAACATTAACAATATACATAAACAAAGGTACATAAACAAACAAAATTTGTAGGACTTTATTATTAAGCAAGAACTACACTTATTATCTAAATAGATATTAAGTATCTTAAATAATCATATACGATTATAAAAAAAAAACTTTAAAAATAAAAATATTTACTTACAATTGATGTATAATTTTTTTTAAATTGTAGCGTAACTTTTATCATAGATGTGTTCAATAACAAGATCTTACAGCAGACTGAACAGAAGTCGCTGCTGCGTGCTTAGACACGTTTACGCGTGTCTTGCGTGTTATATTTTTAATGTAGCCTCGATTATTTTACTTACCCTATAGTCAACTGAACCGGTCTCCTCTAATATACGAATTTGGATCGTAGGTGATCCCGTAATATACTACGATCTGGACATATTTACACTGTCGAGAATATTTCATTTTATCTGTCTCATACTTTAGTAAATGTTTAACTATTCGATGTGCGCTTTATATATTGTCGAATTGAGCATGTTTATAAGCCATGGCTGATGTGGAAAAATGCTTTATTTGTGAACAGTTGTTAGGGAGTGATGTGGTTAAAGTGAAAGAGAGAGGCATGAAGATTTTTGAAATATCAAATAAAAAAAGAAAAGAAAAGAGCAATTTTCAAAGGCCGAACGTCTGTGCGTGTTCACGAGACATGCTGAAAATCGTATAGTAATGAAAAACTTATCGCTGCATTCTGCTCAAAGACGGTAGTACTAGCACTCCAAGAGTAACATTACGTTCTATTGTACTCAACTTTCGAATTTAAAAAAGAATGTTTTCTTTGTGCAGAAGAAATAACCGAGGAATCTTTGAAAAAACACATAGAAAAAATAAAACTAATCGAATGTGACATTATTTATGAAGTGAGAAAGATTTCGATGAAAGATACAATTTTAGAAATTGCTTCGAAGCACAATGACGATTGGATACGCCAAATTATAGGTCATGTTAATCAAGCAGTAGATTTGGTTGCAATTGAGCCAGATGTCACAACTCGTGCATGAAGAAATTGTATACGCTACCCGAGAGTCAGAAACGAGGTCAGCCGTCATCGAACGTAGATTGCAAGCGATGCAATATATTTATGCATATTTAGAAGATAATGCCAGTTTACTATTGAGGAATTAATGGCGCAAATACAATGAGAATATCATCCAGATGTAAGAACAGTAAAAAGTAGATTTTAAGTATGATGATGATATTATTGTTGCTAATGTCGGCAAGAAATCGTCTCCGATTGTTTTCGTAATATCGGATATAAAATACTTATCAATACGCGGAAAGAAAATCGAATCAAGAGGAAAAATGACTTCGCATGTGAAAGAAGCAGTGGCAATAATGCTAAAGGATATTCACAAGTATATGAGACAAAGCATTACCTTCCATCGGACAATTTTCTGCAAGATGTTAAGACGGTTATACCAGAAAGTTTGAACTTTCCTCGACAAGAAAATGATAGTAAGTAAAAAAGTTAGTTCTCACAAAAAGTAGAAAATAAAGTGTTCGAGTATAACACATGCTATAATCAGCGCAGCAAGATCGTATTTGTCGCCGTTGCAAATCGGAGCGTTGCAACGGCAACAAATCGCAGCGAACAAAAAATACGCATTTAGGAAATTCCTCGAAACTATCAGCTTTAAGCTTTTATTTATCGTATCAAGAAGCAGTGCATTTTGAGATCTTTGCTATAATGCGTTCACCGATATCAATCGATTCTCAGTCATTCTCATAGTTTTTATTCGAAATGCAGATTTCAATACGGAAATATTGGACGGCTTAAATATATTTCATGGGCGGAATTCAATGTCTGACTCCTTCAACAACTGTTGCTTCCGATCAAAAAATTGAACGTCTCACAACAATGTCAACATCTGAAGTTATTGAGAATTTTGGATCCATTCCGCTCATAGCGAGAAAAAGAAGGAATCTGATTTGAAACCAATTAAAATTTTCAATTTATGATATATTCATCCAGTTTCCAGCCAACTATTGTCATCTTCATCGGATTTGCACTGGCTGTATGAAAAATAGGCCGAATTTGCCCTTCATATCGCGATGGAACGATTTTATGAAAGAAGCAACTAAAGGCAAATTATTCCATAAAACGAAAATACTGTGCTTGCCATTTATTAATGCGTCCCCCAGTGATTATGATACAATTTTTACAGTACTAAGAATTACTGTAAAAAAATGAAACTACAAATCAATAAACATGTTTGGACTACAAATCAATAAACATGTTTCGTGACATTTTACCAATCGCTTTATATAAAAGCATGAGACATCGTTTCGATGTCAAGTGGTCCGGAATTGAACTTGGAAAATGTTATTAGGTGTACAACTTTGCTTCCGCCGTTTTTTTCCGAAATTCGAGGCTTTATTGTAAAAAACTAGTTATACATTTATGATTCAAAGTATTGTCCATCGCTGGCCACTATTTTCTCCCATCTTTCGGGTAACGTACGAATCCCGCGTCGAAAAAACTGGTCATCTTTTGAGGCTATCCACGAATCGATCCATTTTTTACTTCTTCATAAGACCGGAAGTGCTGGTCAGCCAGGCCGTGTGCCATTGATCGAAACAAGTGATAGTCAGAGGGAATAACGTCTGGAGAATACGGCGGGTGGGGTAGGACTTCCCATTTCAACGTTTCTAAGTATGTCTTGACCACTTTCGCAACATGGGGTCGAGCATTGTCATGCTGCAAAATCACTTTATCGTGTCTCTCGTTGTATTGCGGCCGTTTGTCTTTCAATGCTCGTCTCAAACGCATCAATTGCGTTCGATACCTATCGCCTGTGATTGTTTCAGTCGGTTTTAACAGTTCATAATACACTACACCCAGTTGGTCCCACCAAATACAGAGCATGACCTTGGACGTCAAAATCACCGTTCTTGAAGCGTTGAAACCACTCACGACACGTTCTTTCACTAATAGCGGCCTCACCATAAGTATTTGAAAGCATTCGATGAGCCTCAGCCGCAGATTTCTTCATATTGAAGCAAAAAATTAAAACCTCCCGCAAATGACGAGAATTTGGCTCGTAAACTGACATTTTCAATCGAGAAAGAATTTATGATGCAGACACAAATCGACTAATGCTTCTATGGGGTTATGTTAACAGATGTCCAAGTTTATTGTACGACGTCTATGATCTATTTATTTCGACCACCACTTACCGCTAAAGCCATCTATAGGAAAACGGCGGAAGCAAAGTTGTATAATAAGGGGATTTGTGATTGAATGATTTTCTTTGTGTTATGAAAGAAGCAGCGGTAATAATGCTAGAGGATATTCATTCACAAGTGTACGAAACAAAGCACTACCCCCTAGCAGATAATTTTCTGCAAGATATTAAGACGATTGTACTGGAAAGTT